CTCTCTCTCTCTCTCTCTCTCTCTCTCTCTCTCTCTCTCTCTCTCTCTCCAACTCAGTTCGCTGTGAATTTTACTCCAGTCACGCTTAAAAGCCCTATTTTGGTCTTCCCTATGGCACTGCATATGATTCACCTGCAGGGGGAGCTCTTAAGTCACTCTGTTCAGCAAAGGACACCTAACTCTCAGGAAGGCTTGGTCCCCTGAAGATATGACAGCCAGTTAAATTTGCTCACGCAGTGACTGCCAAATTACTGCTTTCAATGTCTTATTTAGTATTTCTGCTCTCGTTCATGTGTTTACCCGAAGAATCGAATGGAGGAAAGCATGGCTTTGTTCAAGACAATCATAACCTACAAATGGTTTGAAAAGTCCTCAATCATCTTGTTCCTCAACAAGTTAGATTTGCTGGAGGAAAAAATCATGCACTCGCATTTGGTGGACTACTTCCCTGAATATGATGGTAAGTGAAAAACACAGGAATGCACTGTGACACAAATGTACACACTCAAAGGTTTGCACATGATGGGCACAAATGGCAGAATATTTCAAGCTTTAAATTATTTATTTAATACATTTCTTTTACAAAGATGGAATGATTCTAAATCATAAAGCTTCACTGTTTTTTGTACAACAAGAATTTGGTGTGTGATTTTGAGTTGATTGTGGATTTTTTCTGATCTCTGTATTTTTCACATGGTCACATGTAACACAGACTAAAACACCACCCCCACCCATGCCCACACACATGGTCTAATAAAATATAGCTATCTTTATGGGGGCATTGCATTGACTTTCACTAATTTCTGTAACCTAACCCTGACTCCTTACCTTAAAACTAACCTCACAGGTACATACCTGAACCTAAACCTAGTCTAAACTCAATTCACATCTTGGTCCTAAACCTAACCTGCTACCCAAAATGAGCATCTGTACCTGTGGGGACCAGGCTTTAGTCCCCATGAGGCCATGTTTTTCTGGAAAACGGTCCCCATGATGTAGCAAAAATGTGTATACACACACACACACACACAGGTTTGCACAGCTATCTAATTGGGGACATTTCATTGACTTCCATTACATTTCTACAGCCTAACCCTGACCACAAACCCTAAGGCTAACCTCACAGGTACCTACCTGACCCTAAAACTAACCTAAACTCAATTCACACCTTGGTTCTAAACTGAACCCCCAACCCACCAAAGGCATTTAAACCAAATGGGGACTCGACTTTTGTCCCCAAATGCACCAGTTGTCCCCAAAGGTAGGATTTTTGTCTTAAAATTGCCCCCAAATGTCACCAAAGCCATACACACACACACACGCACGCACGCACGCACGCACGCACGCACGCACGCACGCACGCACGCACACACACACACACACAGCCACAGATTGAGGAAGGGGCTGATATCAACCATTCTTGCCAGTGGCTAGAAAATGGCTGCACAGACAGCACAGAGGCACTGATAATGGCAGCTCAAGAGCAGGCCCATAGCAAAGGAGCAACTGAGGCTGAGCTCCACCACACGAGGCAGAAAAGAAGGGAATTCTTCATATCCGATGGAAAATTTGCAGCTGGCCATACTGACGAGCCAAAATGCCTTTTGGAGAAATGTTTTGGGTCAGTCGAGACAAAGACTGAGCTATATGGCCACAATAACAATAGTACATGTGGACTAGTCAGAGTGAGGCTTTCAAGAAGAACACTGGATGTCAAGCATGGTGGTGGTAGCATCATGCTGTAGTTCTGGTACATTGTACTTAGTGGATGAAACAATGACCACTGAGGACTTTCTCCAAGATTTCCAAATTCTCAACCAATTTAAATGAATTTCTGAACCTCTGAACTTTACTCCTCCTTACCTTCAAAGCTGTCCACATCCTCGCTCCTCCAAATGTCTCTGATCTCCTTCATATTACTACACCCATCCACACCCTTAAAACCTCTTCCTCTATCCAGCTCACTGTCCCTCCTGTCTTTCTTGTTACCATGGGAAGCAGGGCATTTAGCCACCCTGCTCTGATACTCTGGAACTCACTCCCACCTCTTTTTCCGTAACTCACTTCCACATTTCAGCCTATCTTTTTAAATTAGCTTACTCCCTCTGATTTTTACTGCATTGTTCATTCTAACCAATTCTGCTGAGAAGGATTCTCATACACTACAAAACTTTTCCACCTAACCAAGTCTTACAATCTTAAGTCCAGTCAAAAAGTACTTATTTTAATCTTGTTTTGAGACTGGTATACGAATAGTATATGTTTAGTTAATCTTGTTATACTAGAAATTTTTCCTAATTTCAAGAAGTCTCACCAAGTGTAATTATCTCACTGCACTGGTAGATTACTGCACTTATTTTGAGAAGATTCAGACTATAGACAGAAAGCGTGTGGTCAAGGTGAACTTGCTAAGGAACACATTTAACCAAATGTTAGTGGGGGTGTATCTATTTGAGCCTTTAGGCATGACTTTGACATTGTGTGAATTCGAGAAAATCCACAATAGATTCAAACTTGTGCACCCAATTTTTGTTGTGAAAGAAATATTGAAATTGTGCGTTGTATCATCAATTCACCCTAGAAAACAAATGGTTCAAATTTAAAAATTGCTTGACTTAATGACATTTTTGCTCATGTTGAGAGTATTTAACACAACAGCTCTTTATTGTAAGGCTTAAAACAGAGCTATTCAACTCAACTGCTCCAGAGGCCACAGTTACTGCAGGTCAAAAGCTCAGAGGCTGAACATCCAGCAATTAAAGTCATTATGTAAATAAACCAAGTACTACAAAGATCTGTTACCTTTGAAATAGTTTATTTTGCTGCATTTAATCATGAARACAACATACAGAACCCTATAAAAGTCGTGATAATTAAACAATATCAAAAAAAGAAAAGAACACATTATGCCCCCTATATGACACAAATATTATTTTGACATTTATGACTTGCAGATTTTTCAAAATGATTTTATTTTCACTTTCATAGTTTTATTTTTACCTGCTTGTAATTTTAACTGACCTGAATGTGCTCAGAAATGGTTTTTACCAACTTCTAGCCAAGATGATGTTTCTGTAGACACCAAACATGTCTATGTATAATTAAAAGAACTCATAGTAATTAAAGTAGAAAACCAGGGGTTTGGGCTTAAGAGATGAATGAACCAATTGGTGGGTCAAACTTTGGTCCCTTGCGGGCCGGATGTGGCCCGCGGGCCGCCAGTTGAATAGCCCTGGCCTAAAATGTTGGGTTATTTGTGTGTAAGACATTCATTGTGCAAACATGGTCACACCATCATAATTATATATCATGTTAGTGCTTTTAAAGAGAGTATGATAAAACTTTTGGTTTTACTGTATCATCTGCTCTGTTCTCCCAGGTCCCCAGCAGGACGTCCAAGCGGGCAAAATGTTCATCTTGGACATGTTTGAAAGCCTCAATCCAAATGAGGACAAAATCATCTACTCCCACTTTACGTGTGCTACAGACACAGACAACATTCGATTTGTCTTCTGCGCGGTGAAGCACCACATCTTGCAGATCAACCTGGAAGCCCAGAACTTGGTTTAGACGTTGGTGATTGCTGCCGTGATCTAATCGTCTCTGTGCATCTGGCAGTGGGAGGGCTCTGCTAGCTGCTGCTCAGCAGTATAATCCAAAACAGGAAATTGAGAAGCTTCGGAGCTTGTCATCAAATGACTGTACTACTGAAGCATTTCAAATTTTCTTGTTAGAGTCTGTAAATGGATGTCTCCAGCTATTATGAAGTGTGACCTGCCAATTAAAGTGCTGCCTTTTGGAGGAGTCTAATATAGCACGCACTCTGAAATTTATGGAGCGCTTCGTGGGCGTTTTTTCTTTTCTGAACAGCGTTAATGCACACTGCTGGATTAATAGGAGGGGAAGTATTGAAGTGGCCTCAAATGCCTCTGAGGTATTGAGATGTACTAGATCTCTTTTTCTGGTCTGAAAACCGTGGAACTGAATGTAGACTGAAATGCACTGCAACATCTCGCACCACTAACCCAACTTGGTCAGTTCTTTTCCTTTTTTTTCCTTAAGCTATAAAGTTGTTTAAAAATTATTACTTTGTATCTCAGCTGAAAAAGACCTAGTTATATTCAACACTAAAGACATGTTTTAAAAAAATAAACATGGCACAAAAAGTACAAAAAAATGTATGGTTAATTGATTCTTTGTGCTTCTTGGAAATAAATCTTATACGAGGATTATTTAACTAAATTGCACAGGGGCCACATTACTCAAAGCCAACAACTCAGGGGCCAAAAATTGTGTGTGTGTGTGTGTGTGTGTGGGGGGGGGGGGGGGGGGTGTGTCCAATGGCATGCCAGACTGTTTTTAAACGGGTTAAATTTTCCATGCTTTGGCCCCTGAAACCACCATTGCAAACCTATAAAAAATGCTAGAAAAATATGTCAAGAAACACCAACCTTTAGAATGTTTTTTCTCACCTTCATTACCTATTCAATAATTATTATATTTTTAGCATCCAAATTATATTAACGTGTTTTAAACACTTTAATATTTTCCCACTGAAAAAAAACAACTTTTAAACAAACCGTTGACAATAAGAACGGGAGAAATCAAAGCTATCTTAAATAACGTTTCAGTTTATTATAAATTATAATTTAAAATGTTAATTGCAGATTACAGATTTGATTTTATGATAATGATTAAAAAAATATTAGATACAATTTGTTTATAATTTGTATTTTTTCTCCCCCCCCGGTGCTGCTTGGTGGTCTCCCAGAGGGCCATGGACCCCACTTTGAGGAACATATACTACAGGAGAGCCTGTTTATTTCCCTTTTTGTTTCCACATTTGTAAATAAAATACACATGGGTTAAAAAGCAGAGTTTATGGCTAAAATCATAAAAAAATAAATAAATTGCAAAACATTCTCTGCCAATACCAAACATCTTTTTTTATATTGCCTGTTGTTTTGAGCTTCTGCTACCCCAGGTGTTACCAATCAGGCGCCTGATTGGCAGCTGATTGGCAGCAACTGTAAGCACACACCTTGTTACAGGGGTTATTTGGTGTTTGCTTCAAGTGTGCCACATTTGACGGATCTGAATAGGGCCTGTAAAACAACTTCGAGCTGGTGTTGTGCAAAACCAAGCTGCAAATTATTTAGACTGAGCCTTAGTACACTGTTCAACTTGAAGACCAAGTTGCTATTAATGGGAGGTGTCAGAGACAAGCAGTGAATAGGGCAAAAATGAGATGCTGCAACCAGTGGTAATCCCATATCTCCACAGTCAGGGATGCATGAGGCATGAGGTAGAGAGGATGGAATATACAGGTGCTGGTCATAAAATTAAAATATCATGAAAAAGTAGATTTATTTCAGTAATTCCATTTAAAAAGTGAAACTTGTATATTATATTCAGACATTACATACAAACTCATATATTTCAAATGTTTATTTCGTTTAATTTTGATGATTACAAATGACAACAAATGAAAATCTCAAATTCAGC